TTCGTGCAAAGAGTGATAAGAAGAAAATATTTTAACCCAAGTGAGAATTTAAGCTTTTTTCTCTCATTTTTACTCGTCTATGTAGTAGAGTATCTATCTACAAAAAAGGGTGGCTTCGTTTTCCGTAATGCTGACGAGGTACTCTGGAGGTCAGCCAATTTAAATTGGTGATTTTACGATGATAAGATAAGTTTGAAAATCGACACAATTTTTTTTTATTTCTAAACAAAAGTTCATTGTTTTTTTTTCCAGAGTCATCTACTCTATCTTAGATTAATTAATCACTATTTTCGAACGTCGATAAAGAAAAGTTCAAAAAGTACCTACTTGAGTCACTATGAATCATTCATTTTTTTTTTTTTAACTGATGAATCGACAATTCATTTCTTGTAGAGACATGACAAGAAGCATTATTATCGTAGTGAGTGAAGTCACTTAGGGATGAGGATAATTAAGCAACGCTATGCCGATTAACTTGCTTGAATTTGCGTTCACAAATTATCGAGCGTGGACAATTGGATGAGGTAGAAGTAACGAGGGTAATACACCTATCGGTTGTATTGCTCTATACGGATTTCCAGTAACCGGAATCAGAGAGCTTATTATCATTAATAGCTTCACGGTTATTGCTTTAGTTTTTTTTCTACTTTTTATCACTTAACTTGTCTTCAACATTGAAAAAAAAATTATGATTAGAAAACTTGAAAATAAATTTAATCCAAGAAATAAGGAAGAACATTCGATTAACTTTGTAGATAAGGATGTTTATAAACAATACTGATTACTCAGAATAACTATTATTATTTTAATTGCCAGTATTTATTAACTATACTAGAGGCATTGTGTGAATCATTTCAAAGACTTGAAAAATGTTCAATTTAACTTCTAATTTTTTTTTTTAATTTTCTGAATCTTTTTTTTTTTTTTTTTGTAAGAAGTATTTCCTTTGCACTGTTCATTTTATATTTTTCGGAATTAAAAAAATTTTATTCGATAAAAAACTTTTAATTGTAAGGAAATTTAACTTTATAAGAATTTTAAAAAATACTTTGACTGCTAGCATGAGTTTAATTATCTTAACTGAAAAAAAAGCTTTAGTGGAAAGAAATTGATAGTTTTATTCTCACATTTAAGAAACTTAAATAAAAAATGTTTTATTTCTTAATTTATTCTTGGATCATTAAATATAATTTAAGAGGAATTTTTTATTTCAATTTTTTGCTCATTCAGGTGCATGTGAACCTCTAAATTATCCAATATTCCACCTGTTCAGGTTGTCCTTGAATAAATTAAACCCACTCTTTAGAAATATTTTTTAAAAATAAGACATTATACAGAAAGAGATGAATATCATTTTCTAATTATAATCCAGTGAATAGAAAGATGGCAAAAAGTTTCGAAAAAAAAATATGAAGTATACTTTAAGCGAGTTTGGTGGTAGACTTTAATTGAAATATATGATAGAATGGGCATTAAGGGATTGAAAATGTATGCGATGAAATAATACAAGAATAATTTATGCTCCTTCCGATCTTTCTTGTTGGAAGGGTGGAGACTATTAAGGGATAGATCCCAGTGGTTATAAATCAGTAGAGGAAAAGCAGCACGTACGTCTCGAGGGCGAATGAGAGTAAGTCGGTCGTTACATAGCGCTTTAACTGTAAGACTTGAGAGGCGGAAATACGAATAGAAAGAAAGATAAAGAGAGACGAAAATATAAAAGAAACTCGTTGCAAACTCAAAAGTTGTTCATTCACATAAGAGATGAAATTGCACTCGTATCTGGAGCATGAATTTATGACGCAAAATTCTAAAAGCTCTCATTTAATGATTTGCATTTATATATTTTTTCAAACCTTAATAAGATTTACGTATAACATTATTTCTTTAGCTTAATTAGATAAAAATATGACCGGAAATTTTTAAAAACTGTTGACATTTTATCAAGATAATTATTTTCAGGAAGAAACTCCTCCACTATTTATCGAGTATACAAAGGAAATAGAGATTAAATATGAATTATACATTGCAGGATTGAACTTGTTTTTTAAAAAGATTTCTTTCTCTTTTTTCTAAATTACCCATTTTATTAAATAGGTCATTCAAATAATTAATTCATAAATTTATCATGGATGGAATTATTAATAAATACATTTCTCTTCTAAGAGTGTATAAATATTAAACAAACGTCATCCGAAGTAAACATAGTCAATAAAAATAATAAAAATAATAAAAATAGGTCTGGGTTTAGTTTGTGTCCTGACGACGAACTTCCCATTAATTGAAATCTGTAATTTTGTCCTCTTTTGGTTTTTTTGTTTATAAACAATAACTGTTGTTATAGTCAATACATAATTGTCTAGAGTCATATGAAGTTATTAATAACCATATTACGTTGACCTCAGTTGTCAATAATGTTAATCATCTAATAAGTAGAATCTATTTCAAATGTCTTCTTTATTCAACTTATGTTACACTCTTTTTGTTTTAAAAAAAAAACGGTTCGACCGAATTTGTTTAAACTTCTTTCAGATCTTTTCCGTTGTATTATCTTTAAAATGAAATTCGTCCGAAGTCGATATCTTCAGTGGTTCTCGAGATATCGAGAACGAAAAAAAACCTGGCATACGCACGTACGTCCATACATACACAGTAAATTTTAGTGTTTTATTTTAAAACATTAAAAGTGTTTTAATATGACGTGTACTCATTTGATTAACATTGTTTGGATTTTAAAACACTTAAAAACATTTTAAAATCGAGACAATGTCAATCAAATGGATGACGTCATATTAAAACAATTTTAATGTTTTAAAATAAAACACTAAAATTTACTGTATACATATATACATGCATCCATGTTTAAACCTTCTAATATGCTTTCAAATGTCTCAAAATGTAAAGATATGATAAAATTACGAATTCCAAAAATCGACCCCATTACAATAACTTCGCGAATGAGAAGTTAAAAATGAAAATTCATAAGAAATTTCTATTAACAAAACTATTTTAACAATTTTTTAATAATAAAAATAACGTTCATATCAAAATTATAAAAAAAACATTCTGCTGTAATAATAATAGAAGAATTCCAAAGTTTCTTTGTGATAACGCATGCTACAAGCTAATTATTTTAATTATTATTAATTACTAAAAAATTACTTTGTTGCAGAAAATATTTAAGATCAAAATCATAGTTTTTTAAAAAGTTTGAGAAACTTTTTCACGCAAACTTGTTTATCTTTGACAATTTGTTCATTTACAACAACAAAATAATTTGAGTTATTTAGTTTTCTAAATCTTTTTTAAAAATAATTTGTCTCAAGTACTAAATATATTCACCAAGTGTCTAATCATTCTGAATAGAGTTACGAGGCGAAATGGGAATAGTGGAAATGTAACTTTGTAGTTCCGTAGTATGGTAGTACTATAGGTAATGAGACCGTTTCTTGTGCACGAAATAGAAGTCATCGAGAAGCCTTGTGCTTCGTATACATTATATCCCCGGACGGGTTGCACGCATTCACTAGCATCTATTTACGGTGGTAATTAATGAAGGTGTGCTCACTAAGTCGCAACTCGTGCTTGTAGTGTGCGACGAAACAATACATTACTGGTTATCCCTAGGAACCTAAAACACTATCAATCCTGAGTTAAAGCCCAACACTATTATTTCTACAATCGTATTAATTGTACAAGTGTTTCAACTTTCCTATGTTTGTTGAATTTAATTAATATTACAATTCTCAATGATAAGGATTTTTTAAAATCAAGTTACAGTGAAGCTAAAGTTTTCATTGGCTCCAAAGTTTCATAACTTGATAATAAAAAAATGAAATAATTTAAAAGTATTGACTTTGAAGACATTTTACTTGAACAGAATTCAATCATTGTTCATGAAAAAAAATTACTCAAGTTTTTGAATTTTAAAAATACTATAATCTTTTGAATAATGCAAGTTTTCAACTACATTGTTATCAATTTGATTTCACATTTTTATCAAATACCTATACTTTCAATATTCTACTACATCTTTTGAAAATACCTTCCATTCTATTCAGTTATACTTTATTATATCATGCACATAAAGAATTTTTCAATATAATTTTATCTTACGAGACATTATTATATTCATAACTACAATTTATGATATTATTATCTGATAAAAGTTTCAAGAAAACTAGCATGTCAATACTTGGTAATTGGAAAATTAACAATGTATAAAAAAAAGATGGATATTATTAATATTTTACTTGATTCAAAGAAAAAAAAAACACAAAACAATTATCTTTTATCTAATATTCAGTTAATTAATCATCAATGTAGCTTCTGCGTTTATTATTAAATGACAGATAAACGGTATTTATTGTAAAAACGACACACGTAATTTCACAATTACGGCTATGAGATACTAAAAGAGTATATGTATTTCAAAAAGGTTGCACGTAATATAATACAATCCTACATGCTCGTGTGCACATAATAAATCGACCATTGCGTGACAGATCTGAGGTGAAAATCGCTCAGTTGCTATTCACATATCCCATTTTGTCCGACAATTATTTCAATCTGTTTTCATTGCTACTATTGAAATGATTTCGTACAGATTACAGATAATTTACTAAAAGATGAGAACCACTGATAAATCCGACCAAGTCCTACACATGAAAATGCATTAACGTTGATTAACGCTATCGTTGCATTTATGAACATCAAAAATGGATTCATACTTCATACATATTTAAAAAATTGTCGACAACGTATTATTCTTTACACTCATTGTCATGCTATTAACTGATTACCTTCAAATTTATTTTCTGAATTTCATTTAATTATTCATGTCTCATTTTCAACTAATAATTCCAATTCAATTAAAATATCAATTGCTCCAAGTGTTCTTGGTGATTGGAAATGACAGTAAAAGTTGTTGGTCGTAATCGATATCAGCTATTAAAAAAAAAATAATAATCTTAATGTGTTAGCAAATTTCTTGATCTTACCTTAGAGATACAATAACAGTTGACATTTAAATAATATTAAAGTATGCCACAAGTAAATCATAGAGTGCAGAATATTGATAAAAAAATTTCACATTTTATATTTAATCATGTAAGTATACTTTCAGTTTAATTGTAAGAATTAAACGATCATGATTAGCTGACCTTCAAGGTCAGCAACCATTTGACATCGGCACGCGCGAAAAGTCCACGAGGTCATTCAGTTTCACGTGCATTTTCCTTCTTGTTCCATAAATCATATCTGTGATTCTGCATTTCAATTATCATCACATGATTCAATGAACTTGACGTTTGTAATCCCTGATATCACTGCAGCATCAATTATATTATAATCAGTTTGGTTAATTGTCCAGTGCAAGTACATATTAGAAACCATAGAATATTTCCAATACAGTAATTAAACACTTTGTGGTTAGACTCACTTTCTTAGGGATTACAGGATGAAGCTGTTCACCTCATGATAATCTTATCAGTTGACTATACGTTCACTCTGTTAATTCACTGAGAATATGTTCTAGAAAAGTTTATTGATAATTTTCTCACTGCATTCAACTGTAATTTTGACGATTCAACGAAACCTCGTGGAAAATTGAAGGACTAAGATTTTTTTTTGGAGTTCTTTCTGAATCAGAAAAGAGAGAATGATGATATCTAGGAGCATGATGCGCTCCGAGTGGCCATTTGATGCAATGCGACGAAAAAACAGAGTAGGTATTTAGAACATAGGACCTACCTACCACCACAGCAACAACTGCTGCTGATGGTTCCTGCATCTTGGAGTCTTACTCATATTCATTGAGAGCAACGTATGCGAAAGGTCGGTGGCTTGATAACAGTTTCACCTCAGCACAACTGCCAACAGAAGGTAAAATAAGCAGTGATAAAAAAGTAGGTTTTGTACAGAATTAAAGGTAGATTTCATTGTTCGTTGTATATCGTATTTTATTTCATGAAGGAAAGTCGGAAATCTATAAAACATGATGGATATAATCAATAAAAAAATGTATGTTTATTCAACCTTACTTCTTCAATGAATCTTATATTGATAACGTCGTATATCAACGAATTTTAATTTGGAGTAAAGAGTATTAAATTCAAATAGAAAATTATGATGAATATTACTTTCTGATAGATGGTTGTAAAATTGTCAGGCATTTTCTATCAAGGAATCAAATAGTTCCTCTTTCATACACCTTTTATTCAAGCATATCATGCCTGGTCCGCAAGATGTACCATCAGCAGCTCCAGTTTGGACGAGTTTTATTGTTGGATTATCTGGCTTATAACAACGAAGTGCAATACACGTAGTAGCATCAATAACTGCAGCTGAAGTTCCGACTCTTTTTTTACATTGTTCATTAGCATCTAATAGTTTTCCAGGTAAAAATCTGGCCACAGTATGTCCTGGTCTTGGCTTATTAAATAAACAATCAGAAGAAGGTTTTCTGCAATAAATTAATCTCATTAGTATTGTTTTAATGATTTGTAATATAGAGAGAAATATTTTTAAAGAATAATTTACTCTAAAAATTTTTCAAAATCTTTTATTGAGCATGTAGACCATTCTCCTGCGTGAGATGTATGAATGAGAACTGGAGCCATTAAATTACCCGTTGCAGAACTACAATTTTCATGAAATGTGCCGTCATGTTCAACACCTAATCTACAGAAAGAATGAATAATTATTTATATCTATTATTATTATTATTCCACATATTCTATTATTAACAAATTATTTATACATACAAGTGTCCAAGTTCATGGGATGTAACATCTATACCTTTGAAAGCACCAGCATCTTGAACGATTGCTGATTTTAGCTCTGAATTACATGCACCCCCTACGAATGCAACACCAATAAGTTCTTCACATTTTGAAGATTCATGTGATTTTCTACAGAACTTCTCCCTGAAATAATCGACTTAACAAGTAAAATTTCTGCTATTTTTTCTTCAAAATACAATCAATAAAAAATAAAAAGCTTACGGGGACATCGTTATAGCTACATCAAATTCAACGTCAGGAAGTCGCTTTTCTAATTTTTTCAACCATGCTATACTAGAATCTAATGCTTTATAAATTAGCAACTGGAATGGAGCAATTTCAGAATGATAACGCATATATTCCAATGCATTTGGCTCCTGGAAGAATGGATTAATTTATTTAGAGAAATAGTCCAGTCAATGGAAGGTTAAAATCACTATTTTTAGCGGGGAGAATGAAACCAACGCGAAAATGTGCATAAGAGTCGTAGAAATAATAATGCAAAAAATCAGGGTCCTGAATGAAAGAAAACCCTTGCAAAAAAATGCGAAAGAATGCAAAAATGACTTTTTGGCTAATATCTCGAGAACGGCTGGAAATATGAAGAAAATGTTCGAGTAAAAGTTGTAGAGAATTTAATTCTCTACAAAAAAGTATTCATACATCTTTTACGTATCTCTTACCGTTTATTAATTATATGCCATTAAAGAGACCGTGGAATGTAGAATTTTTTAAAAAATTATTTTATATTTACAAAATTTAACCACATCTGAGTACTTATTTATTACTCTGACAATATTTTCAAAGGTTTTAATGAGCTTTTTATTAATTTGAAAATTTCAAATTAATTTTTTTTTCATTCAATCGAATTGGATTTTTTTTTTTCTTTTCCATTCGATTCAGCATAAAATTCACGATTAAGTATGTTCTCTTACTTGGATTTCCATTTTAATCCACGTGAGATAGATAAAAAATAAGAATTGGGGGACTTTTAATTTCTTACGTTACTGCCGCTGAGAGAGAACGACATATCTCTCCTTTTCACTCGCACTCATTACATTCCTCTGCACATGCGCGGCGCATGGAAAAGTGTAAGTGCGAGAGAGAACGGTAGTTCCTTCTTCCGTTTCACTCACACTCACTATATTTTTATACACCTGCGGAGTACACTGAAAAACATAGGTGCGAGTGAGATCGCAAACTCCTCCAGTGGGAGTGTAAAGGAAAGAAAAGGCCCCAATGGATCCTACTCAACTGTTTCACAACTGGGGTTTACGATAAAGTGTCAGCATCTACCTAAAGTATTTGATACTAAGTTTTTTAACGTTATTTTTTAACATAGAAAGTGACAATTATTATTATAACTAAAATGGGAGCATGTTCTGATTGACTGTAGGTATTACAAGTATGGTTATCAAAATGTCTGATGGTAAAATGATGAAAGATTGCTATAATAGCGGTAACTACAACAAAGCGGTTTTTTCATATAAGAAAGATTCTTTTTTTGATGAGACACGAAATTATCTTTTGCTTTTATAATAACAAAAGATAAAAAAAATTGACATAAATGTATGATATTACTCTTATAGAAATGATTTTCAAACATTTAATACGACAAATTGAGGAAAAATAATTATGAATGAATAATTTTTATTTATTTGAGAGATTGAAAAAACTATAAAGGGATGTATAATATAAGGAAAAATCATGTACAAAGATAATTAGATAATAATTTCTTTTATATTATTTTCACTATAGCTATCATTTATTGAATTTCTCTTCTAATGCACTTTTTTCGTTTAATACCACATTCACTTGGTTTTGTAATTCATTTAATACTCTCAATAGTTCTAAATTATTTTGTGTAACATCATTTGCCATGTCCTTGTTTTGATTCTGATTGCATTATTCTTCTTTTTCTTCAAATTCAACGCATTTTAAAGAATCGAATGTCTATAGTTCTTGTTTGACTTCATGCAATTCTGTAAATATATTTTATAAGATATTAAAAAAGATCGCATTTTAATAGATTTCCATTATGGAATATTAATATCATCACTGGAGCTATCATTTAATTGCTGAAGTATTTTCTCAACTTGTACTTCAGCTGCACGTTTACTTTCATTTAAGTGTTTATTTCTTTGTTCAAATATTTTACGATTTTCTTCTAATTTTTTTTTTAATAAAAGGCTTTTTTCGGATAAAGTTCTTGCATCACTAATATTATGTATACTATCATCACTTTCATCTACTCTTGAAGTGAATTCTGTGCTGTGGCGAGAAGATTTTACTTTTGATTTAATTTTCGTTAATTTTTCAGCATATCCCTTTTAAATAAAATAGAAAAAACATTCTTATAAAATCATATAACCACTCTACTTTATTAATCAATTGAGTTAAAAGCTATCTTACCTGAACTTCGTCCTCTTTTTTCTTCAAGTCAAATTGTTTTTTTACAATAATATCCCGATAATTCGACAACTCGTTCGAAATTACACATTTTTCATCTTTATGGTAAAAAAGTAAATGCTCGCTATGATATCGGCAAAAATGTACCTGAACAGTTGTAAACAATGATTTAAATGGGAAAATAATTTAAAACATAAAAGTACTGCAAAATAGTCAAAGTTTTGGTAATTTACAATTAGATTTGTACATATTCATTCAAATAGACAAAAAAAACTAGTTTTGTCTATTTTAGAGTATCTTTACGTGACTTTTAAAATTTTCAGAGGATTTTCCCATTTCAATCCTCATTTAAAAGAGTTCAGGTACATTATTACCCTAAATTTCTGCTTTTATTCTATTTGAGATTTTATTGCAGTCTTCAAGTTTGGCACGGTAGTTATAGGCTAAAGTTTGCCCATTTAGGCTGAAAAATATTGTAAAATATATGTGTGTCCATCTATAGATGGATTGACTAACGACAGTTTGTTAGTTAACGACGATTGCTTGACGATTAGATTGTTTATAGCAACGAGGGAAGAGTTTGTTTATCTCCAGTTTAGGACTGAGACTAACTAACATTAGACGTCTTGTCTTTGATTCTGTATTTGAATCTATCATTTTAATAAATTAACTTTTAATAATAGTTGTTCTCATTCTATTATTTTACATTTGGTGTCAGAAATAATTCGTCTCACGTGTCGAGATATTTTGTTTGTGTTGTGATATTTTTTTTTAAAGAAAATTTGTCAAATGATGGATTGTTGGCTTTGGAGATGCGGATCAACAGATTAGAAGAACAGTTTTTTACAAACAAAATTAGAGATAAGATTTTCGATTAATAATAATAATAATAATTTTAGTGATATGGTTTCACTTCAGAAAATTAAAAAATTAGTTCTGCTCAAATTCAAGAAAATTTTAGTAAAAGAAATTCTAATATTAATTTAAATGTTTCTAAAAAATTTAAACGTTGGTTGTGTGGTAAAATTGGCCACAAAAAAAAGAGTGTGAATTTTCTTGCAAAAAATAATTTACGGAAAATTAATTCATAATTTAAAAAACTAAATTATTTAAAATATTATATAGTAAAATTCGAAAAATTGGAAATTGAATTTAATAATGAATTTAATTTTAATAGAATAAGATTGAAAATATTCCTTACCTTGGATGAGCTCAAACTTTTGCATCTCGAGTGCCACCATTGCATTATTATACAATTGAACTTCTTTTGTTTTTGTATGCTAACTGGTCTTCTGATTCCGTAATACGTTTTTTCAAATCATCGATTATAAATTTTAAATTAACAACCATAATTATGGTAATTTTGCATTGGCAATTGAACATTATACATTATCTATTAGAACAGTCTTAGTTATAATAGTATTTTACATATTAATCTTATTGCAGTATGTTTGTTCAAGTTTACTTTTTCATTTTAGTATAAAATCTAAAAAATTCATATTTCCAGAGCTAGAAAAGTTAGAAATTATATCAGATACAATATGTTTGTTTACCAAAATTGCTAGTCTATTAGTTAAGTCTCAACCAAGTCGTAGAAGAGATATAAATCTGGTGAAGAATACCCGAGATCGGCAAAAAGCACTCATCCAGTCGTCGAGATCTCCACTACGTTCCAGAGACAACGCACGAGATTATCCTGGAAAGCAGCCTTCACAGTCTTGACGGGGAAAAGTCATGTAAGTCCAGCAATATTCTAATACACGTGTGAGACTGACTGACTAGTATAGCTATCGAAACAATTGCAATATTCTCTCTTCTAGTTGTAGTCATTAAAACCTTAAATGGCATAGTAAACAGATTGTAGTTTACAGTTTATTAATTATTAATTATTGTCGCTTAGTCGATATTGCTTTAGGGGGACCTAGAGTCCTGTCAAACTTGTACCCCGCGTTTGTAAATCTCATAATAATCTTTGAATTATATAGAGTCTCTCGCATTATTAAAATTATATTGTATTATCTTTTTTGTAAGTCAAGAGTGCATCAAGGAGTTCTTCTATTTGTATCTTGTTGCTTGAGAATCGTTTAAATAGAAGTAATTTATGATATAAATAGTGCCACATTGGGAGTAACCTTTACCGTTATCCCATAGTCCTGATTTGTTTGCTACAAATCGCCCGATTAATTGTAGAGTCTTTAGTACTTTTTCCCCAGAAATATATCAATACACATTGTAAAAAATACTGTGTACATTGTTGAATTTACTAAACTGCATAGTAATTTATAGGGTGAAATTAGAGTAAAAATAACTATGCAGTTCAGTAAATTCAACAATGTGCACAGTATGTTTTGCAATGTGTATAGTAATATTGGAGTCACTAAACACTCACTTTTACTCTTAAATGTTCGTTTTTATGTTTTACTTATCGCGGTGCATGGTATCATACGCCACCTGTTAGCATATTAAATACCTTTAGCGAATATTCTAATATAATATATATATAAGTAATATAAATATAAGTATAATTTTTTATTAGAAATATTAAAAAATTCAATCAAATTATAATAATGGTGAGAATATTATAATAATTAACGAAACCGTTTTTTATTTAAATTTTAATATTATTATCTCGTATTTTATTATTATTATTAGAAATAAGGGTTTCGTTAATTATTATAATATTCTCACCATTATTATAATTTGATTGAATTTTTTAATATTTCTAATAAAAAATTATACTTATATTTACATTACTTATATATATATTATATTAGAATATTCGCTAAAATATTTAGTATATTAAATACAGAGGTATTTAATATGCTAACAGGTGGCGCATGGTGTCATTTTCCATGACATTTCACCACTAGGAGGCGCCCAATAACTAGTTATCTATCCAACCAGAAGGGTTTTTTCAATCACATGAGATTTGATTCTCTACCTTGTAACAAAGTTACGGCCCTGAACGCGGATAAAATAGAAAAATATGTTAGCAAGTAAGTCGATAAACTATCGAACTAGTTTATCGATCAAAATTAAGATATCATTACCCTCCGAGTAGGTTCGCCTTTAGGAACATAAAGCCAACAAAGACCGAGATAAGAAAATGTATATGCTAAAAAGAGAAAGTATTTGTGATGATTTTGTTGCCATGACGACTTCCCCACTCGACCTACCACAATAGTGGTGGGGGATAGCAAAGAGGGCGGAGCCAAACAGTATAAAAGGGCTGAATTTTGCGGAGATCGTCACTTCACCTGTCTCCGAGGTACTAGACCGACGAGACCGACGAGAGTAGTAGCTCACGTCGTATAATACAGAGTTGTAGCTCTGGCTAAAGGGTTGTAGCCTTTTAGTTGCCCCGGAGAGTCGAAGCTTTCCGAAAGTAGGAATTGGAGGGTTGAAGCCTTCCAGCCAAGAGTTGGTGCTCCTGGTTTTAGCTAGCGATCGAGAGTTGGAGCTCACGATCTCGAACCGTGTAGGAGTCGAAGCTCCTCGCTGACGAGTTGTAGCTCGTCAGCTATTCAGGCAAGGTTGTAGCCTTCCCTCGAAGAGTTGTTAGCTCTTCGAGTATCCCGGACGAGTTGTAGCTCGTCCTCACTTAGATAGGGTTCTAGAGTTAGAAGGTGAAGAGTCGTAGCTCACACCTATACCCCCTAGAAGAGTTGGAGCTCTTCGTCGACGAGTTGTAGCTCGTCGATTATTCAGGCAAGGTTGTAGCCTTCCCTCGAAGAGTCGTTAGCTCTTCGAGTATCCCGGTCTGGGTTGTAGCCCGACCAACAAGAGGTTAGGCCACGGGGTAGACATTCTTTTGGGTGGGAATCATCTTCTAAAATACCAACTTTCTTATCATAATACTATCGTATCGCCGTTGTTGAGCCACGCGTATATCTTAAATATAGTTAGATTTATTTGCTTTATTTATTCTGTCATTTTGTAAAACCAAATCGTTGGTTAGGACGAGTAAAATTAATGTACGTTGCCGTGTATGATATACACATAGCCCTGTTGTGGTTTGTTTTTGTGTTTTTAGTTTATTATTGGTTGATAACGTTATTCAGTCGTTTATTGTTAACTATAATTGTTATTAGTTGGAATTAATAAAGTTTATTTTTGTTGTTTAACAGAATTCAAAAGAGAATTTACTTTGTAACATATCCGCCATTGAATCCTGGTCCATAGAAATTAAATAACTTGTTAAATTTAGGCGGGAATTTTCTTGGGACTCGCCTTAAGAAAATTTAGGTGTTACAACCTGTGCACATCGTGTAATTTTTGCTTTAATATTTTTGTGAAAATACAAGTGCAATTTTGTTATTATTCATCAACTGCATAAGTGTAATATAAAAACGAACATTAAAATTACTATACACATTGTAAAAAATACTGTGCATATTGTTGAATTTACTAAACTGCATCGTAATTTTTACTTTCATTTCACCCTAAAAATCACTATGCAGTTTAGTAAATTCAGCAATGTGCACAGTATTTTTTACAATGTGTACTAGCTGATGGTACTAGATATATGATGTTCATTCAAGCAAACGAAAAAGTGTTTTTCATTGATAGAAATAATAATGTCTTTGAGGTATTCGGATTGACTTTTCCACACTGTGAAGATGTTTCAAGAACTCTGAAAGATACTTTATTAGATGGAGAAATGGTTATTGATAAAGTAAATGGTACCAAACATCCTAGGTACTTAGTTTTTGACATTATCATGTATGATGGTGAAGATGTATCAATAGACTTATTTTTTATTGAGCGATATGCTATAATCGAGAAAGAAGTGATAGGAGGCCCAATGAGAGCATTAAATGAAGGCCGAATACGACGAAATCAAGAACCCTTTTCTATTCGTCAAAAGCAATTTTGGCATATTACACAAGTGAACAGTTTACTCAGTGAAAAATTTGTGAAACAATTGGGTCATGAACCAGTCAGCCTGATCTTCCAGCCTTCGAAAGAGCCTTACATCCCTGGACCTGCAGCAACCGTCTTAAAGTGGAAGCCACTATCGTTGAATTCAGTGGACTTCAAATTGAAATTAGTCGTCGAATCAGGTATTTCATCACGAAAAATTGGTCACTTATATGTTGGGGGCTTAAGCGAACCATATAGTTTTATTGCGCTTACTAACGAAATAGAAAAGCTCGATAATGCTCGTTGTGTATAGTAATTTTTACCGTTACCCCGCAATGTCACCAAATCACCATAAAATTAAGGGTAATTTTTACTATACATTTCTCTGCGTGTTGCGTAAGGTTTTTTTGCATTAACCGGCTCTTCATCATCGCTGTTAAAGATTTTTATTCTCTTTCTCTTTAATTTTTTAGGTTGACTCCTTTTTTTCTGTTTTTCTTGGCATTCACCGTATCTAAAACAATAAAAGAAATACATTAAATAGAAAATTTAGTGACTCTAATCTGCTCAACTCATGCTCAAAATTTTAAACAAAAAAATCTAATTTTTATCGCCGTCGTTTAGCTGGTGGAGGCAAGCAATCCTCCCAATTCTCATTGAACTGAAATTTACTTATGTAATTTATTAAATATTTGGACGTTATTAGCGCGTTAATACTATTTAAAATTGATTGAGCAGTCGTAAACGAATTTGGAAAATATTTATCGGTTCTTTCGCGCACAAATACCCAACAACCGTTCTTGAAACTACATTCAATTATTTTATTATCGAGCTTTTCTATTTCTTTAGTAAGCGCAATAAAACTATATGGTTCGCTTAAGCCCCCAACATATAAGTGACCAATTTTTCGTGATGAAATACCTGATTCGACGACTAATTTCAATTTGAAGTCCACTGAATTCAACGATAGTGGCTTCCACTTTAAGACGGTTGCTGCAGGTCCAGGGATGTAAGGCTCTTTCGAAGGCTGGAAGATCAGGCTGACTGGTTCATGACCCAATTGTTTCACAAATTTTTCACTGAGTAAACTGTTCACTTGTGTAATATGCCAAAATTGCTTTTGACGAATAGAAAAGGGTTCTTGATTTCGTCGTATTCGGCCTTCATTTAATGCTCTCATTGGGCCTCCTATCACTTCTTTCTCGATTATAGCATATCGCTCAATAAAAAATAAGTCTATTGATACATCTTCACCATCATACATGATAATGTCAAAAACTAAGTACCTAGGATGTTTGGTACCATTTACTTTATCAATAACCATTTCTCCATCTAATAAAGTATCTTTCAGAGTTCTTGAAACATCTTCACAGTGTGGAAAAGTCAATCCGAATACCTCAAAGACATTATTATTTCTATCAATGAAAAACACTTTTTCGTTTGCTTGAATGAACATCATAT